TTTTTAGTTTTACTTAGGTTGTTATTATTATTTTATTTATTTTTTTAAATGATGTGCATGGATGAATGATTTATAATAAACACTGCAATATTACAAATAAAAAGAGTCAATTTTGATTTTGTGGGAACCAAGTATGCTGGAAAGTACATACTGTATGTATACCAGCTACTATCTAAAGAAGAACTCTAAGTACAGAAGAAGTCAAAGCCATAAAAGCTCTCATTCCCTGTTTGGAGTCACGCACAGAAAAATTTAACGTCCAAATTGGAACCCAAGTGAAGGAAAAACTGAGTTATTTAGCAAGAATGGCTTAACTTAACAAATAAAACAAGAAATAAAAACAAATAGCAGGGCTGGGCACATACGGATCCTCTCACTCCAGAGGCCGAGAGAGAGAGAGAGAGAGAGAGAGCGAGAGATAGAGAGAGAGAGGCCCAAAGCTCAACACTCCCCCTTAATCTCCTCTGTCAGATCCGACCCCAGAAGAATAGTCCAAAAATTCAAAGAGGAAGATGGAGACATAAGAGAGCTAGGGAGGAAATAGAACGAGAAAAATCTGGAAGACCATTCAGTGGTGGCTAATAAATCTGAAACACAGTGAGGCAATGAGAAGTGAAACCTGGGTGCCTTAAATACACAATACATTCACACTGATCTCAGTTCTGCCATTTAACGGTATGGATGGGACACCATTTAGAGAAAACTAGGGATACTCTTTTCGCCTCCGATACCGATTCCGATATTGGCCGATACCGATCCGATACCAGTGAAGTTTTTTTCCCTCATTTAAATAAATGTAGAATTTATATATCTCAGTGTGTGGAAGAGATAATCATTCTCACACAATCTACTAGATACAGACTACTTCATTATAAAGAAAAATAAAATAAACAATAAATATGAAAAAATATAGGCCTATGTATATTTATAATCTATGACAAAAATGTATCATAAACTAGGTTAGTGGATAATTCGGCAGCAAAAGTTATTCTAGAAAAATCAGTGCACAATAATTTTAGAAATCCAAAGTATAATGGGAACACAGAATGATCTTGGAGAGAGCTTTACCGAGCTGACTGCTGTAACCGAATGCGACCAGGGTTTAAAGGCTGAACGAAGCGGAGACAGCCACAGCGGAGAAAAGAGTTTGTGTGAACGTTAATGCAAGGACTTAAATATTCATATGTAGCTCACATTAAGCTATCGTATGGCTTCAGAAGTAACAGAATAATTCGCACAATCGAGAAAAAAAAAAAAAAAAAATCCGGATTTGTATGGGC